ATGTTCCTGCGGGCCTCCACCACCCAGCTGAGGTACAGCGCCTGCAGGCAAGGAGAGCACAGGCATCACAACCTCCCCACAGGGCTGGCAAACACCCCCCTAGAGCCTGAATTGCTGCTAGTAAAGTCCAGGGTAAAGAAGCAAAAAAGGGCCTTTGCATAACATCCACAGATGTTTAATTCAGCTGCACTGTGAGATGTCAGGTGTGGAGGGACAGAATAAGAGAATAGTGCAGAAGGCAATCTCACCCCTGAGGAGTTGCAGTTGCACTAATCACCAAAGTGATTTCCACCAAAGATTAGAACAGGCCTGCCCTTAACAGGCCACAGCTGTGTCCAATAAGAAGACAAGTGCTACAAAAGAGTGGGTTAGCTGGTTGAGAAGGGAGCTGGAGTTTGTTGGCTGTACTGTGGCTAAGAAGGAATCAGTGCTGTGAGGAGATGCCCATGAGAAATCACCAAGAAGGTATGGAACTTCTGCAATAAGATGACAACATTCAAGTCTCCAGCACAGACACCTGCAGAGCCCAGCTTTCTCTCCCAGGGGCATGGGGGCTGACCCTGGTCTGAGGGCAATACAAATATAAGGGCCCAGCAGGGAAATGGGAGGGAATGGCTCAGGAACATATGGACACACACAGGAACAGGGGAAGCAGCCAATGGGGTGTAACTTCGGAGATTCCCCCCAGGGCCTCCACACCCCATGGGCTCTCTGGGTGCCTTTTGGGGACCCCCAGGGCAGGTGGGCAGGGCAGTGCTCCCACCTTGCCCTCAGCAGCAGACGAGGCCATCTTGCGCAGGCGCTCCTGCTCGCCGCTGTCCGACGCGTACTGGGCCAGCTCGTAGAGCACGTTGGTGCGGGGAGGGTTGGTGATGTCCAGGTAGTAGGTCAGGGCTGTCCTGTACGATGTAGGGCAGGGGAAGGGATGCTTCTTGTTGGATTCCTCTGGAGAAGTGGGAGAGAAAGAAAAATTAAAAACCCATCCACCTCGTGCTGGTGTGTTAAGAGGTTTTGTTCCGGCTGTGAGGGCTGGAGACAAAGCACAGTGGGTTTCACGGAGGAAAGAGCAGCCTGTGGGTCAGAGCCCCAGCTCCACACTGAATCACCTCCCTCCCCAGGCAGCTCCATTTCCTAGTATCCCATTTTGTGTTTCATAGATGCTTCCTGACAGTTTTGCAGCAAAAAATACAAAAAATAAACTCTGTGTTCCCCAAGGGGGCTCTGTGTCCCAAGATGTGCACACACAGTCCAACAAACCCCAGATTAAGCAGGGGGCTGCCCTCCATGGCTAATTTGGCCTCAGGCATTTACACCTCCATCAGATCTGGCCTCAAAAGTGTCCTTAGGCTCTGTCAGCCACATTCAGCTGTGCCAGAAGTCAAGGCTGGAGCCATTCTGTTCAGCCTTGAGAGGTCCATAAGGGACAGGAATGACAGCACAGGGGGCCACAGGCTCCAGCAATGCCTTAAATCCACTTTGTCTCTAGAAACCAGGAGTTCTCTCAGGCTTCTGGGCCAGCACATCTGCTGCCTCAGGTCTGGCTGTGCTGCTCCAGGACTGTGATGGGCAGCAGCTGCCATCTCCCTCCTGCCAGAGGCTGGCTCTGCTGGGAATGCTCCCCAGGAACAGCTCCTTGGATCAGCACAAGTGCTCCCTGCTGGCAGCTCAGTCCCCAAGCCTGTACCTCCTCCCAGGACTGAATAAGAACATCTCACACACTCAGGGCCCTGAGGAGCTCCAGGGCTGCTGAAGGATGCTCTGGTGGGCTGATGCTTCATAATTAGGAGTGTGCTGTTACATAATTTGTTGTTGAATGGGCTCACCAAGCACATTTCACAAGTGACCCACTTCAGCTGATCTCAGCAAGCAGGCTCTGAGCCCCAGCTAAAACAGCACAACACTGAGAGGGGCTGTGGGACATCTGGAGGTGCCTCACAGGATCTGAGGGTGAAGGACAGAGACCACCACTGGAGAACTGGAGATCCCTACTCACCATCCAAGTTGTTCAGGGACATGACAGTGTCCAGGTCCGTGCCCAGGATCTCACCAATCTGGTTCACCAGGGAGGAGTCGTTGGCTGGGTACACAGCCACGTGGTCCCCAGACTCATACCTGGCACGGGGCAGGAGGAAGGAGAGCACATGGAACACCTGCACCACTTCTTGAGCACCCCCAGCAGCTCAGCCAGAACACAAGGGGGCTGAGGCAAGGGGCAGCAGGACAACACTGAGGTCTGAGGCACAGGACCTGCAGCACCAGCATCCACAGAGCCAGCAGTTACATTGTGGGATAATGGTTTCCCAGGGTTTTTATGAACAGCAGTTTAGCCAGAGTTCCAGCAAGAACAGGTCAGATTCCCAACAGAACAGAGCAAAGCTCCTCAAAACCTCTACAGCTGTTAAGCCACCTGGATTCATGACTTCCTAACAACTTAAGGAATTTCAGCGAGTGAGAGGGTTTTAAGAACAGGGCTTTATTCCCCCTATGCTCATAGACCTAAACCAGGCACATACAGGCAAGAGCAACCCCCTGCTCAGCTGCCCTCTCATTTATTGACTTCTAGAGAATTCCTGCAACTGGGACTGCTCAGGTAGGACAGGGATGTGGGATGGGATGGACCCAAAGCAGTGCAAGAGCTGGTACAGAAGCCCAAAAGGGCAGTGTTAAGGAGCAAGGTCCCCTTCTAAGTGCTGGATGAGGCTGATGCCACACCCTTGTTCTTTGCTCCTGACAAAGCAGAGGAGCAGTCTCCCCCAGGGCAGTACCTGATTTTGGAATTGGAGATATCCAGCTCCAGGTGCATCAAGTGTCGCTCTCCACCCTCATTCAGCTTGCGGTTCTCTGTGACCTGAGCCAGGAAGGGGTTCTTGGCATCAAATGGGCTGCAAGGAAACACAAAGGTGCTCTGGGATTCCCTCCTGCAGGCTCATGGAGCTCCTGCTATCCAGCATGTTCCTCAGACTCCAGAGCAGCTGCCATGATTTGATCCTGTTCCAGAGCACACTGCACCACAGCACGAACCAAATCATGACCCTGCTGCTCCCCACACTGGCACAGAAAACAGATCCTCTTCCTTCTCAGCACAGCCCAGCACTCAACAGCTTGTGTCCCATTAAGGACACATGACAGAACTAGATTGGAGGCACTGTCACATCTCAAAGAAATATTTCAGGCTGGAATTAATGCTTAAAGCTCATCTCTCCACAGCAATACTGCCAGCAGCCATCATGCATTGGCCACTGCAGGCAAGGAAAGGCTCAGGACAGATGCTGTGGATGTACCAGCCAAGCAGCACATGTGACCACAGCCACCTCATCACCATGAATGATTCATTAACTGGGGAATCTCAGAATCCCAGTGGAACTCTGAGCCCATTTCTCTTGGGCAGAGACCTGCTGTGCTGCAGGTGCTGTTACACACATCAGGGAGCCACCAGCCAAGCTCTGCCCAGGGGTTTGGCACTCACGGCTTCTGGTTCTCGTAGCTCTTGAGCCTGCCCATCTCCCCTGTGTAGACTTTGTTCATGTTCACATCTGTGTGCACCACCAGCTCATACTGACGGATGCTGGAGGGAAAAAAAGGAGAGAAAAGAGAAAAAAGTCAAATTGGAACCCACAAGGTACAGCTGGAAGCATCATCTCCTTTGCTGGATTTGCTGCAGTTCAAAAACAAATGCAAATTCCATCCCTTTGCCCCTCCTGAGAGATGAGAAAACAGGCAGACTCTGCAAAAAGCCCAAAGCAAGGGGAACCCTCAGCCTCCCTGGAGCCTCACAACCAGCACAGCCAGCCCCAAAGGAACTCAAGCCATCCTCTCCCCACTCAGAACAGGAATCCAGAGCTGGGCACAGACTCACACCAGCACAGGCTCAGGCCAAAGAGCCCCACTCACTGCTACACTTCACTCATGCCTTGAGTCTGGAAGGGGAGGCAGCACAGAGGAAAGGGAACAGCAGCCCAGGGCTGATGGCACAGCCACCAGTCAAGGTGGCCAGTCTGTGACACCCAGGAGGAGCTGCTCCCAAACCCACCTGGACTCCTCTCCTGTAGCCTCCACCCCGAAGTGCTCACACACTGCTGGCCAGAACTGCTCTCTCCACGTGATGAAGTCTTCTTCCAGGCTAGCCAGGGCAGAAGAGAGAGTCAACAACCCAGCCCCATTCCCAGAGAAGCCACCTGAGATCCCTGTGCCCTCCTCCCACCACTGTGGGAAAAGGCATTTCCTTAGACCCAGGCACCCCTGGTACCTCCACATGCCCACAGATCACCAGGAAAGCACCTGCAGGGCACTGAGTGGGAACTGCCCTTCCCCAGCCCTGCCAAGGAAGGCTTTGTTATTTAGGCTCAGTCTTTAAAAAGCTCAGCTCCCCATTATCCATCCCTGGCATGAAGTGACCTTCCTAAAAGGTCATTATTCCTCTGTGGCACTGCTTATTTTTCCAGGCTCAGAGCCTTCCACACAGGGCATATCCCTCCCACAAGGCCCTGCAGAGCTCAGAGGTAGAGCCACAGGTTGATGTAATGTCCCAAGGTGTTCAGGTGAACACAGAAAGGTAAAAAAAAAAAAAAAAAGAAAATATCATTGTCTGAGCTGGAAAATTGCTGCCTCCCACCATAAAACAGCTCCCAAGGAGATTAACCTGCTTCCTTCACTGGGATGGGGGAGTTTACCCACACAGGCTGCACAGGAAGAGGCAGAGGAGGCTGCAAAGCCTGCTCCAGTTGTCCCATGGACATTTAGAGCTGAGGTGGGATTTCCCAGACACAGGATCCCTCAGGACACTCCCTGTGTACAGGGAGCTGATTGTGGGAGACACAGCAGACACAAACATGTCAACCCCAACAACAAGCCCTGTGAACTTATTTCTGCCTTGGTAGTGGAGCCCATTCCTTGCCAAGGTCCCTTCCAAGATGCTTTCAGCCAGCTCTGCCCAGCCCCTCAGCCCAAGGCACTCACTTGCCATCATCATCTCCCAGCCCCAGCTCAAAGATGCGCTGTGCTCCAAGCTCCTCCAGCCTCTTGTCCACGTACTTCCCCATGGCATTGAAGTGCTCATAAGTTTTGTTCCCCAGCCCAAAGACCTGGAAGGGAACACTCATGAGCATGGAGAAGCAGGAGGTGGACTTTCCCCATCCATTTGACATCCTCTGGCCAGGTATCACCCCACAAAGGATGCAGAACAAAGGCAGTGAGACCTCTCCCAGCTTCCCCATCAGCTCTCCAGTAAGAATCTACCAGTGTGTGGTCAGGAGGCACCAGCACCTCCCCTGAGCCTGGATGCTCTTCCAGGAACTCCTGCATGTCTCCTTGTGGGAGCAGTAAGAACCTGGACTGCCTGGAGAGCCACTGCTGGCCTTTGCCTCCCACAAAGCACACAGTAAATAAATCCTTGCTCACTGCTTCACACAGAGTAGCTTCACATCTCCACCAGTGGATTTTACTCTCATTTGCAATATTATGCTGCCTAAGGTATTTGGCCAGGTTTTAGGTGAGCTGGCTGTTTCTCAGCCAGTTATTCAGCTCTGCACATAAGGAGAGCTACACACTCCTTCAAGTGATTTAATTAGTGGGAGAAGATCTGGCCCCAGGCTGCCCAATTAGCTTCTGAAGGGCAGCAGCAGCCTGTAGCTCATTTACAAACCTGTATTCAGTGCCTGCAGGGCTGTTTGGGGCTGTTTATACCAGGAAACCCTGATGATTTAGAGAATGGAGAGCAAACTCTGATATTTGCATTTGAAGCCTCAAGAAGTACATTTGCAGGTGTCCACAAAGCCTGGGCAGGAAGACAGCAGGGATCTCATCCCAGACAAGGTATACAAGACACAGACATCATGTTGTGCCTTTCCCCAAACCACTCTGGAGGGCTTTTGGCCTTCCTGCCCAAATGCAAGACAAAAACTGGAATGGGGCCACTTACTGCAAACCGGAGACCCGAGAGGTCGGCATCAGCCTCCTGCAGCCAGTCATAGAAATCCTGGGCATTGTCTGTGGGATCTCCCTCTCCATAGGTGGCCATGCAGAACACTGCCAAGGACTTGTCAATCTCAGAGAGGCGACTCAGGTCCGACTGCAAGCAGAGGAAAGAAGGAATCTTCAAGGATCCCGCACTGTGGTTGTTGGGCAATTCCTATTCCCACAGCGTAGGTGTGCAAACAGCACCACGCGTTTGCAGAAGGGGTTGGGAAAGGCCGGACCTACCCAAAATGGCTGGGAAAATAAAGGAAACCACCCTCACTGGACTGCAAGTCAATATTTCTGCTCCACCAGAAAGAAAAGCAATGGATTTTCCATGCAAGGCTTTAAAGGACCAGGAGAATGCAGAATGGCAAGGATTGAGCCTGTACCTGCATCACTCAGGCTGATCTTTTCTACCCTAAATGACACAACTGTGCCTTGGCCAGTGTCATTGGATTTTTTTAGGGGGCACTGAAAGGTTGTGACTATCCCAAGGCTGTTCAGGGCTCAATTACCAGGTCATACTCCTCTGGGTCTGCTGCCATGCCCCGGAGGCCATAGCGATGGGCATCTTTGGCCAGGCGATTGGCAAACTCCTCTGCTGTGCCCGTCTGGGAGCCATAGAAAACCACAATATTCCGGCCCTGGAGAGAGAGAAAAATCCCTTTTAAGTGATGATTAGTCATTTGGCAAATGCATGGATGAAGCACAAAGGAAATGCCTGAGATCAGGAATCCCAGACTGCAATCTAAAGGCAACCAGGAGTGAGTGCTTGTGCAGGACTCCAAGAGCTTGGCAGAAAACTCCAGGCTGAGCTGTTAATGAGAACATGACTCTTGCCACTCTCAGAGGGGAGATTCAGGTCAGACTAAAACCCAAAGCAAAGGATAAACTTTCCAGATTTATGCTCAACTTTTGAGGCTGCAGTGTGACTCCTGGAAACAGGGAACACCCTGGATGGGAATGCAGAACTTGCTAAAGGCTCTGGGCAAGTGCCTGAGCACCAGAGCTCCTGCTCTGCTGCAAGCCAGCTACTTTGAAGCAGAATGGAAAATGCATCCAGCCCTTGCTTCCTCTTGTGTCCAAAGTCAAAAGCTGACAGTTCTGTGTACAATTCCCACTGCACAGCCAAGCCAGTTTGGGAACCAACCACACAGATAAACAACTGCCAGCCAATGACTTCAAAGTCTCTGCCATTTCCCTTCTGACTTCGATCTCATATTACATTATTTTTTTCCACCACTGAAATTTCACTTGAATTTCTTCTCTAAGAACAACTCTCAGGCACAGACTGAAAGAGCTATTCCTGGCTGCTCACACAGCCTTCCTCTGGATGCTCTCTGCAGCAGCCATGTGTCTGTACCCAAACCAGCTCCTCCTGCTGACAGTTTCCAGAGGAAAATGGGATAGTTCCAGAGGAAAATGGGATGGACATGAGCTCCCCCACCTTCCCAGAACAAGCAGCTTACCGTCTTCTTCATCTTCTCAATGAAGCTGCTGTCTCTCACTGGAGCTGCTCTGAAAGACAGGAGGAACATCTTTTCAGATGAGCACATTCATATTTGAGGTCAGGAATAAGCAAGTGGGAGAAAAGTGGCCTCCAGACCTCAGGAAAGTTGCCCAAAAGAGTGAGAATCTCCACTGACCACAGTGCTCAGCCACAGGGCTTCTGAACACAACCATGGAGCACAGGGGAGAAGCTGAGCTCCTCCCTGACCCCCATCAGTGACTCCTCCATGGGAAAAGCCCAGGCACACAACCCTGCCCACCAGGAAACCTTTATCAAGTGCTCTGAGAGGTTTCACAGCTCAGCTAAAGGAGCTCACAGGAACAGGTCTCCAGATAAGTCTCAGAGGCCAAGCCAGGGTTTGAAAGAAGGGGATGGAAAACTCCTTCCTTCCCCACACCACTGTGGGCAAGCAGGATCAGTCCTGAGCCATGCTCCCCAGGGCACATCTCCCAAACCTGAAGTCAAACAGGGCTAAAAATCAGCTGTTTGAACCTCCAAACAGCATGCCAGCCACGAGCCCCAGAGCTGCAGAGCCCTGTGGAGCAGGCACACACAGCTGCTCAGAGCCACAGAGCTCCCAGCAAGGCCACCACTGCCAGCCAAGGTCCTGTGGAGCTCATTCTGTGCTGGCTTCCCATTCCCAGGATGGATTTCCTGCACAGAACATTTGCATTATTGTATAGATGTGGCTTTCCCTAGCTTGGAAGTGGGACAAACCCCACTGGAGGTTTGGATTCACATTGCTGTGGCTGCCCTGTGAGGGAGCCAGCCAGCAGAGCTTTGCTATCCTTAGCACATCTTTGGATTTTCAGTGTCATGGGGTGAAACCAGCCCAGCCCTGGGGACCCTGGGAGCCTCACAAGCAGAGGTGACCATAACTGCAGTCAGATTAGGTGCTGGCAGCTTTGCAGATCAGGCCAGGACAGAAGCTCCCCTGCTGTCCTCTCCCAGCTCTGGTAGCAGGGAAGAGGAACGTGGGACCCGTTCCTGTTCCACAATGGAAGAATGCAAGGCCGGGTCTCCTGTGGGAAGAGAGAAGCCTCCAGGCAAAAAACAAATGGTTTTGGCTCCAGCCCATGTGAGAATGTGAAGAGCTTGCTAACAGTTTCCTCAACTCTGTAGCCCAGAGGGAGGGATCCCGAGGATGTGCTGAGGCATTTGTGGAGAGCACACACACGCAGAGCAGAGGGTGGGGGACACTCAGAAAACATCCCTTCCAGCAACCCTTGCTACCCAAAGGGATCAAGGAGCTCCATAACTGAGCCTGACAGCTCTGAGCACCAACATTCCATACAAAAGACAAAGCACACACAAAGGACAAGCAGAGCTGACCCCAAAAAGCTCCCCAAGGCAGCCGTGCTCCCAGGAGAGCTGCTTCACACCCTGCTTGGCTCTCTCAGCAGTTAACAGCCTACCCATGTTGTCATTTGTCCCCTGTTGGGAACTGGGATATCAAAAATATCTTAAGGGAGCAGCCTCAGCCCTGCCCACGCTGCAGCCAGGGCAGGGGCTCAGGAAAGCTCTCAAGACACAGCTCTCACTTAGTTTTTATCTCCTTGGTGAACTTTTTAATTCCTGCCCTCTGCAAATGAGATCCAATTAAAACAACTGTTGGTTTAACTACTAAACAAAATGCTTTTAAAGGAGGAGAAAAAGAAAAGTTTTTAGATCCTTTCAACAAGCTCCCTTTGGAAGAGAAAAGGGAGCAGCACATGGAGCTCGTCTGTTTTCAAAGGAGGCAACCCTGCACTGAAGTGAGTGCTGGAGAACAGGCTGTGGCTCAGATACAGAAGAAATAATGAGCCTGGCTTTGGAAAAAAGGCTACACAACTCCCTGAAACTGCTTCATCAGGGTGGCCTGAAAATCTGAGCAACGAAAACACACAGGCACCAAAGGCAGAAACTACACACATTTCCACTGCTCTGCCAGGGAAACTTGGAAGAGAAAGTTTGTCCTCAGCAAGGACTGCTCTTACAGCTTAGACAGCTCAAGGTAGCAGCTACAAGCACTAGAAGAAGCACTGGGTGAGGGAAGGGGATGAACCCCATTGTCAGAGTGAGCCTGTAAGTTATACAGCTCCCCCATCCTTGGTGAGAGCCCACAGCAAAAACGACTCCCAGGGCTCTCTGTCACTTAGGATAGGGGAGGAAGCTTCCAACAGCTCAGCAAGAATACCAAAGTCTATCTCATCTGAACAACTCTCTTCAGAAAGCTCCAGTGGCTGTCCTGCTGAAAGCACAGATACATCCAGAAGTGAGGACACAGCCTGGATGCCGCACAGAAACCGAGCACCGACAGCTCGGTCAGTGCATCCAGAAGTGAGGAGCAGCTTGCTTCCAAGCAGAGCCTCTTCCCTTCCTTCTCCTCCTGCTGCAGAGGGAGGAGGCACCCACTCCACCCAGCTCTGGAGCTGGAAGAACCCCAGCAGCCCATCAGGCAGAGTAACTCACCTGGCCACGGCCGGCTCTTCCCGCGGGGCCGAGTACACACAGCCCATGGCAGGGCAGGGAGGAGGCAGACAAAGAGTCCAGGGCAGCTGTGTCTGCAAAGGGAGCTGAGGGGGGACGGATCTAACTTAGCTCTGGAGCCACAGGCACACAGGCCTTTCCATTCTGCTCCTCCCGGGCGTTAAAACCGAGCATCAGCCTTTTGTTGAGGAGAAGAGAGCCGGCACAAAAGGTCCCGGCACGGGTCATAGCAGGAGTGGTGCCGTCCACTCCAATCCTCCTGGTGGGGCTTTGGAAGTTACTGAGTGGATCTGCTCAGTCCTGAGAAACTGCAACATCTGGCAGCAGTGGCAGAAAGGAATTAGGAGTGGAGAATGAAAGCTCCCAGGATGCTCCGCAGCACACGTCCCTCTCCCTCCCGCACAGAGCAGGGGACGGGACACAAAACCCTCCCCCGGCCTCGTTCCCTTGGAAACTGTTTATATCACAGCTGCTTTTATATATTCTTTTATTAAAAAAAGAGGGGAAAAAAAATAAAAAAGCTTGATGCTGTAGCTGAATGAAACGATTCCAGACACTGCGTGAGCAACGCTCTGGGTAACTATGGCAGTGCCATTACGGAGGCAGCTCAAAGGAGTTTGTTTTCCTCAGGATCCTATTAAATTAAATTAGAGATGGTCTCTCTCACACACACAGGCAGCAGAGAGCTAATCAGGCTGAGGACTTGGAGCAATTCCTGCCACAGGAAGCCCTATAAGTACCAGGGAATGGATTTGTGCATAGCTGCAGAATAGAGATAAGCCAGCTTCTGTCCCAAACAATGTTAAAGAGGGGGGGAGAAGGGAGAGGGTGACATTCAGCATACCAATGGCTGTCCCACCAGCATCTAGCCAGGATGACTGTCTGCAAAGTGGGGACAGGAGAAGGGAAAGGAATCTGTGATTGAGAAACTTGCAGAGGAGGAGCAGCCAAAGAGCAAAAATAAATTCCTGCATACCCCGGCAATGGCCCTGCGAGGCAGCAGCGCGGTGGCCGTGGCTGCTGGGATCCAGAGCTGCTCTCCCTAATGACATCTGCAGAGCAGGCTGCAGGGAGGGCTGCTCTGGTGGTTTTAATTAAGTCTGAAAATGGTCAAAACACCAGCAATGCTCAGTCAGTGGGATCCCAGCCTGGCCCACACACTCATGTTACACGCCACAGGTACAGGACACCTCGTCTGCATGTGCTGGGTTCTGTCCCTTCTGTAGCACTTCAGGCAGGAAAACAGCTCCACTTAAGGGTGAAGATCAGCAGCCTGATCCCTCTCTGAGCTGTGGCTGAACTGGAGATGCATTGCTGGGAAAGGATCATGATTCCCAGGCCACACAGAGAGAACCCAGAACAGGGCATCTCAACCTCACATCTGCTCTTCCACAATTAAGGGCACTAACAAAAGTGGCATTTTCTTTGCAGACCCTGCTGAGCTGATGTGGTTTTATGAAGGTGTGCTGCTCCCAAAAACCCCAGAAGGGCACTGAGGTGTTGGATGCTGTGTTTAGGTCAGCATTGCACTCTTCAACATTGCCAACACATTGCTAAAGCAGCAGCCACTGAGATGTGTCTGAATTGTTATTCAGCACCTTCTGAGGCTGAAATTGGGGGGCCAAAGTGAAAACAACAGAAACCATCATCCAATGCCATCAGATAAAGCAGTACAGGCACTTTGGCAGAGCTGCAGAGAATGAGCTGAACAAATGCAACCCCTCTAAAGGTCAAGGCTCTCCACTGCAGCCAGAGACAGCCCCACTGAGGCCTCTCTGCCTTCATGGCTCTGGGACAGCCCCCCTGCTCCCCATATCCAGCCACAGGCAGAGGCTGACAGTGGGATCCTGATTTGTTTGTTCATCAGAAAGGAAACTCCACCCCAGACTGAAGGATTACAGGAGGGAAGGAAACCCAAGGCTGACCAAGCTTGTTTTCTCACTCATTTTCCTCCCAGTTCCAGGCATCCCATAAAATCCCACTGCAAAAGCTGCAGGAAGTCACTGTCTCTGTCCTGAAGGATGGATGTGCCACCAGCCACAGCCTTGGCTTTTAGGGTCACACTGCCCTGGGACCAGCTTGATATAATGACCACAGCAGGGCTGCAGCAGGGTACAGGGTAAAACCACTCCACAGCCTCCTCTCACTCTGCACCTGCCTGGCTGACACTTTTCCAAAGTGCAGCTGTGTCAGACAACTTGCTGAACAACCTCACCTCTCTGGTTATCAGAAAGAGGTGCTGCTGTTCCACATCTCCCACAAGGAGCAGTTTCTCCCTCACTGCTCACAGAGACAGAGAAAGCAGCACAGACCCCACAGGGGAAACAAAGTGCCTGTGAGACAGCTCAGAGCCAGGACCTGCAGCCAGGCTGGGATGGACCCACGTGCTGAGGCCCTGCAGCAGAACAAGGTGGTAACACACAAGCAGCAAAGCTTCCCTGCAAGGTCACCACAGCCTCTGGAAGAGCTGCACATGATGGGCTGCAGGTGGAATCAGTCACAGCCCAGGCTGTGCCATGGCAGGATCCAGTTTCACATGGACAGTGCCCTTTCCCCAGCCAGCACAGCCATTCTTACAATCTCCAGAGGCGACCACGTGCACTGACACACAGCCCTGGCTGGCAGGCACGGCAGGGAAAGCATCCCAGCAATCCAACAGGACACATTCCCAAGGTAAGGCTGGGCTGGCACAGGCAGCTGGGCTGCTGCCAGCCATGTGTGCACCCATCTGCACAAGGTAGCACAGCCAGGGACACTGTTGCCCTTTAAAACCCTCCCAGCCAGAAAAAAATGTACTTTCCAACCTCCAGAAACAAAGCATGAGCTAAAAAAATCCAGCAGAAAACTGATGTTAAGTTTGGAATGTGACTGAGACAAGGAACAAAATGCACCCAGATCTCCACCTGTGTGGCTCATTCCTGGCCCCAAGCCCTTTGCAGGAGGCAGGGAGGAACAAAGCTCTCCCTCTCCAAATCCAGTCTTCCACTCCAGTGGTAACCTGGTATCAAAAGCCAATCAAGTTTTACAGGAGCTGCAAAGCAGCACATCCCAGGAACTATTTCTTTCCTTCACAGCCAAGGGTAGATAAACAGGAAATCTGTTTAAGAGCAAGCAACCTTTCACCAGATTTACCAAAATGTGACTTTTATCAGAAAACACCAAGAATGAAATCCTTAAGAGTTCTGAAGTACAGCCAGAGGCTTTCCTGCCTTGCTCGGGAAAGGCCAATTCCCAATTTGGGCCACACGGTGGGGTAAGGCAGAACTGCAGCCTGGGATTTCCGCACTGTGAGCAGAACCCACAGCAGCTGAGGGCACAGAAACGCCCCCTCACCACCTCCCACAACCCACCACAAGAGAGAGAAGCTCCACTAGAGCCACACAGGCTGGGAGTTGTTACTTACACTGTCTGCATCTTGGGGAGCTCAGGCACCTCCTCCTTTTTCTTGCGGAAGAAGAACCAGTAGGTGAGAAGCCCAGTGATGAGGGAGATGAGGAACACGTCTGTCATGCTGAAGAGAGAGTCCTGCTGGGCAGGGCTGTCAGCAGCAATGCTTGGGTCCATGCTGGGCTCCCCCATGGCACTCAGAGGCACTGTGAGCAAGGAAAAACAGTGAGCACCAGCAGCCACGTGGGACAGCATCACAGCACACACAGAAAATGAGTTTGGCTTTACATTTTGTCTTAGGAGCACGAGGCTGCCCAACAATTCTTTGGATAGAGGCCTTGCATCACAGCTCTGCAAGGTTCTTCTGTGTCCCACCAAGCTTTTTCCTTGCTGTTGTATCCATGCTGATCCATCCCACTCCAGCCAAGGAGCCAAACCAGGCTCCTACCCCAGCAATATCCTACAGGGACCCATGGCCTGCCTTTAGTAAAGCCCTTACTCACCACACAACCCTGGGGTGTTACTGAGGGTTGATCCCACTCCTCAGTCACCCCACAGAGCTGGGGCTTCCTCCCTCCTTCCCACAAGGCCACAGGATGCCCTGGCCCCATTGCTGTGCTGATAAACCACAGAGCAGGACTGTGGCACCAACCCCCTGAGCATGCCCACAACAGGCTGTTACAACACAAATGGTGAATATTTCTGATTTACTCCATTGCAGACTGGATTTACTGTCATTCTCTCCTGGGCCTTTGGCCTCCCAGTCCCCTCCAGGATCTCCCCCAGTTTAATTTCCATCTCCTTGAGTTGCTCCTTTACACTTACCAAGGCAGAGTTTAAGCAATTTGGGACCTGCCCACAGCCATTCCCAGAGTTTATGGGAGCACAAGGATCAACACCCAGCCCTCAAATACCCAGGCAGCCCCATGGCCCTTGTCCTTCCCCTGGGGAGCCACCCATCCCTCTGCTGTGCCAAGCTCTGAACCCCTCTGACCCCAAGCCAATGGCAAGATTATCTTCCCTACATGCAAGGACACACTCTGTCCAAATAAACAGATAATTAACTCTAAACTTGATTTGGAAGGGCAAAGTGACTCTCTCTTTGTACTTGGGCACGCTGCCAACCCAGGGGACCATGGACATTTGAACTTGCATGTAGAAAAGTGACTCAGAGCCGTGCTGGTGTCACAGAGCATACATGCCATGGCTGAGAAATAAAAGTGACTGAAGCTGAAGGTTATGCTAAGACATTCAGGAGCAGGGAAGAGAAGGGAAGGTGATGCTTAGGGAGCACTAACAGGGAGACCAGGTACAACGTTCAGCAAAGATCAACCCCCTGTTGTTACCCCCACGAGGGAAGTCCAGCTCCAGACACACACAGCCCTGTGCCACAGGGCACCAGCCATAAAAAGCACCCTGTGAGCACAGGGAGAAGTCCACAGCCACCTGGCAGTGACCCTGGGTGGGTACTCTGGCAACCCAAAGAGTGCTGAGCCCCACAAGAAACTTCATTTGGTGGAGAACTTGGCAAGTAACTGCATTACAAAGAGCACTAAACCACCTCAAAGCTGCCTGTTGGGTTCCCACAGAAAACACCAAAGCAGGGTGCTGGAAGAAAAATAAAAGTGATGTGACTGCAGACAAGCAAATTGCACATTCCTCTCCATCAGGCAGGTCACCCTGTCCTCCCTCCTTGCAAACAGGCTTTTCATGGCTGGAGCTTGGAGCCAAGCAAGTGCTGGGTGTTACCTCAGTACAACTGTAGACTAAACTGACAGTTACAGCCTCCACAAGTGGGGATTAGTTGCCAAAAAGGCACAGCTCCCAGGAGGATCCCCCTCCTCCTCCTTATCTGGTTCCAGTAAACCACCAAGGAGCTGCTCTGGCAATCAGCACCAGGGGAATCTGCTGGTGGGGGGGAAATGTTGCTGGTTTATTGCTTTTATTCCTGATGAAAGCTCAGAAATTTTAAGTACAAACTCTCCTCTCCCCCTCTGCCACCCAACCTGTAGGAATTTCAGCCAATCTCAGCCAAAACATGACAGTTAACCTTTCATTTCTCAGAGTTTTGGGGTTTTGGTTCTTGCCATCTCATTCATCACTTGAGCTCTCATTAAATCTGAGGGTAAAAAAAGCTCTGAGTGGTCCATGGTTCCCAGGGAGCCTCAATTGCTGTCTGTGCACAGCACAGCCCAACTCTGCAAAGGGATGGAGGAATCAGTGCCCAGACACAGGCAGGAGTAAACATCTCCATCTCTGCGAGGTGGCTTGGTTTGTTCAGCAGCAGTTTCACTGCCCAGATTACACAAGGCTGGACAATTCCCCTCACACAGGGCAGTGATGGCCATGTCAGTAAAATAACCCTCAGAACACCCTGTCTTCCACTCACTTTCCCTGAAAACCCCAAGGCAATGACAAACCTTTGCTCAGAGGAAGCCATGAATAAACACAAGGCTGATGGAGCTGGTTTGGGGCAGGAGCTGCAGCTCTTTCCCTTCTGAGCCCTGGCAAAGGCTCCTTGCTCAGGACACAGCAGCCTCCCTTGTCCCCAAGTGCAGGTGCAGAAAACTCCAAGCCAGCCATGTTTGTGGTGAGCAGCGCCTGGCCCACAGCAATTCCCAGCTCCAGACATGGATATTCATGGCTATTCATGGATATTCATGAGCTGCCCTGTGTGGGCAAAGAATGAGGGCAAGAACCAGCCTGTGCTGTGCTCAGCCAGGTGAGGGCTTTGTCTGCAGCCAAAATTCATCACTGTGCTCAAAGCAGCAGAGCCCCAGCTCCCAGAGCAGAGGGGTTTGGCTTTTCCAAAGGGTTTTGGGTTTTTTCTCTCTGCTCTCCCAGGCAGTGCTGCCCTGCAGAGAGGCATCCTCAGGGAGCAGCACCCAGGAATGCTGCCCTGTGGGGATGTGGGGGTGGGAGCTGTGCTATCTGCTTGCCTTGACCACACTGCAGCTCTCCAGGGCTTCAAAGGGAGCCCTGCAGCTGCAGCCAGGCCACCCACTCACTGCCCACAGCCAGGGAAGGGAATATTCCTGCAGGTTCATGGCTCTGGTGCATGGAGCAGAGCCTGCTTTGCTCTCTCTTCATTCACAATCTCCACTGCACAAAGTTTCCACACTGAGCTTTAACCCTGGGAGGAAACCTGGTGACAAAAGCTGCTTTAATTCTGATTAATTTTAATTTTGGGCTCCCTCTGGTCCTGAACATTTGGTTATTCAAGGTTTATATCCCAGTTACAGATTCTTGTTTTTCCTTGCCCTTCACCACCCTTATCCTCAGGCAAAGGTTTGCTTAGACACAGCAAGAGAAAAGCAAAGAATGTGAAATTAGTCTTCATTTCTCCTTTTTAAAGGGTTGTCTCAACTCAGGAACTATTGAACTCACTTCACCCAGCACAGGAAGATTATTGCTCAGTTATCTCAGTTTCACCTAGCTGGTTGTAACAATTATTTTCCAGAAGTTCACAGCAAATTTGTCATTTGCAAACGACATTTTCATGTCATTTTCAAATACATGTCCTTTACTAACTTCCAGTGAAAAGAAACCTGACTCTTACTTGAAATTTAGCTATCCTGGGAATCCTGCAATCTCTGGAAGGGCCTTGGTAGAATCAAACTAAATTTTTAAAAGGAAATTCATGATACAGAAGTAAAACTTTCCCTGACAACAGTTTCAAGGGTGGTAATTTTATTATATCTTCAATCAAGGTAAGACAAGATGTTCATATCCCTGGGATTTTTTTCTAATGGTGGCTCCAGCTCCTGGATCCCTGCTTGAGCACACAGCAAAGCCATCAGGCTCAGCAAGATGTGAGCATTTCCATCACACAGAAAAGTCACAACATTTTGAAAGATTGCTATCAAGCACTGCTGTGTTTTAGCACAGCTTTTCAGCCCCTGAATGTGAGAATTTGCCTGGTGCATGGCAGCTCACAATAATTCAAATCATCAGGGACCTTCTCTGCACATCTCTGTGCTAGCAAACACTTCATCTTCATATTAAATTAAATGTGTTCCTCATTCTCATGCACACCTTGGAAAAAAAAAAGGACTGGAAGCACTCTCAGTGCCAGGCATCCTCAAACTCCCCATGATTTCCATACAGACTAAAGGATCTATAAGGTCACAGGGTTAAAAATACTTAAATACATAGAGAAACAATATTACAACAAACAAGACAGGAGTGATGAACGCCAAGTGGTCAGCAAGTTGAAGAGATTTATTCTCCTTCCTTGCATCAGGAGATGGTGCATCAGATGTTCCCAAAAGCACCCTGGGACACAGCACCACAACCAAAAAACATGGCTGGGAGGTTTCCCCTCATGGAAGTCACCCTGTGACACCTCCTAGTGACCAAAAGCACCTTGGGACACAGAATCAAAAGCACAAAACGTGGCTGGGAGTTCTTCCCTTGTGGAAGTCACTCTGTAATATCTCCTATGACCAAAAGCACCTTGGGACACAGAACCAGAAGCACAAAATGTGGCTGGGAGTTCTTCCCTTGTGGAAGTCACTCTGTGGGATCTCCTATGACCAAAAGCACCTTGGGACACAGAAGCACAATCACAAAATGTGGCTGGGAGGTTTCCCCTCATGGAAGTCACTCTGTAATATCTCCCAGTGACCAAAAGCGCCTTGGGACACAGAACCAGAAGCACAAAGCATGGCTGGGAGGTTTTCCCTTGTGGAAGTCACCCTGTGGTATCTCCTCTGACCAAAAGCCTTGGCTCTGAAGCTAAACTGGCAATGTGGGCAGGAAGTTCTCTCTTGAGACTGAAGCAGCCTTTTTCTTAATGCAGTATCTGGGATGAGTTTCGAGTACCTGAGCAGGATTTCCCAGCCCCAGACCAGGACTGCAGCCTGTGACTCTTGCCCCAAAAACGAGTGACCAAGTTCTGTGCTTGACTCTGCCCCGTGGCACCACCAGCACAGCCTGAGTGCAGAGTCAGCCTCACCCAGAGGGGAAGGAGAAGGAAAACTGCTGAGCAAGCACAAACTGGATTTGTGTGATATGGCTGTTAAGTCTTGGGCTGCTCCAGCTCCAGGGAAGGGGCCAGCTGAAGGAAGATAAAGGGACACATCAGCATGGACCCAAATGAAATGCTCTGCTATGCAGAAATCTGTCTCATCCCACCTTGTGCTCAGCACTGCATTCTCCTGGGGGGCACTGAGGTGTTAGCAAACTTTGGAACACAAAAGTTATC